GCGCCCTCCCTTTCCGCGCTTTAGGGACCCGGGGACTGGCGTCTCTGACAGCGCTGATCCATCTCCCGGGACAGCGCTCTGGCCAGGCATCCCCAGTCTCCAAAGGAGGCAGGTCCTCCGCGTCTTGGGGCTCACCTATCACCCAGGCGTCCTCCAAGGCGGGGAGAAGGGAGCACGCTCCCAAGAAGAGAGTCGGGGCGGCTTCTTCCGCCTTTCCCCTTCGCCTCTTCTTTCTCCTTCCGGAACCGGTAGGCGGCAGCGGGGTCGCATCAGCGGGTGGCGAGCTGTACACCAGCCCGCTGTCATGTTCTACCTGCCTCTGCATGGCTGCAGCCGCTACCTCCCGAAGTTGCTGGAGGTTTTCGCGCACCACGCTCGCTTGGTGCGCGTCGCCGGGTAACGACATCCCCTCCAGGATATCCCGGCTTCGGTGAGCTAACCGGCGAGCCGCGGGATCTTCCTGGATCTCGGGCTGGGTCAGCCAGTATAGGACCTCTTCTACCAAGCCGAGGTACTCCTCCTCGGCTAGGGGGGATCCTTTCTTGTAGAGACTTGTCATTCTGTCACGGTTCACGGGTGAGCGAGTAGGGAAGCAGGCGAGCAAGCCAGGACTTCAGGTAAAGCTGGGTTTAATGCACAAGACACGGACATCGACGGACAATACAATGACAAGTCTGGGGAAGACTGACTCAGACGAGGACTAAATACAAAAGACAAGCTAGACTTAATAGGACACAGGCGATCACAATCAGGGCTGAACACGAGGTAATGAGGGGGGCGTGGCACACATCGGGATCGTACGGAGCAGGGTGTGACACCCTTTCTTTTGTAAATAGTTTTTTGTATAATTGAGAGATAACCCAAAGAGATATATTGATCTGTTATATGCCATGAAGAGCTTTTTGATAATATACAAGCTATAATTGTTGTAAACGTGGCAAAAGTCATAAACAGATGTATTAGACTGTATGTCTTTTCAATAAAAACTTAAATAAATAAAAAAAAAAGTTAGCTTAATACATTACCTTTAAAAAAAATGTTTGATGTAAAAATAGAGTACAGTATTGCCTAACGGATATTTGTCACACTAGCACATTTACACTATACTAATGTTGCTCCTACTCATTCATAGAACACGGCATTGGCCGCCATTTTCTTTTGCATTTACCGTAAGGTAAAATGAGTAAACGAGCCTTTTCGGTGTTTATAGCAAATGCGTCTCGAGAGGAAAACCCAGAACGCATTTGCTATATACAAAAACAGTAGCACTTTTCAAGAAATGTATCATTTTTGTGCGTTGAATTTATGTTAACGTGTACTTACTATTACAAAATAGCAAATATTTCTAATATTTATGTAACCATTAGCGTTCCAAAGGGAATAAACTTTGCGAATGGGATTTGCATCTTGTAAAGGTACAGTACAGTATGTACATAAAAAGGAGCGTTTCCATAAGAAAGCCACGGTTTTTAAGGGATTTTTTTAACTGGTTTATATTGTATGTCTTGAACGTTCCCTAAAAACACAGTAGAATCTTCATTAATATATTTTTTCTTACTAATTTGACACTTAAAAGCATGAAAACATATAAATTACTGTGAAAATTTCACAGATGTACGAAAAAGTTGCGGATGCAAATAAGTTTGGTTCCAAAGAAATTTTGAATTTGCGAATCACGAAGCGCGAACACACGAGGGCTGACTGTACAAACAAAACGTTCTGTGAGTAGGTATGTGCAAATAGTACATATACACCCACCTAAAGGATTATTAGGAACACCATACTAATACGGCGTTTGACCCCCTTTCGCCTTCAGAACTGCCTTAATTCTACGTGGCATTGATTCAACAAGGTGCTGAAAGCATTCTTTAGAAATGTTGGCCCAAGAATGACTCGAGCTTTGTGACATGGTGCATTATCCTGCTGGAAGTAGCCATCAGAGTATGGGTACATGA